CGGGGTACAGTAAACGAAATTCTATTTAATCCGTCATTTAGACGATCAAAAAATAATGGACACGTATTTTTTCTTTGGCCGATCAACCAATAAATGACAAAGTTATAGCGCGTCAAAGTTTGGGAGTAGGGGCTCGTGACGTCACTTTTGAGTGAATTTTCACTTATAAGTGTACTCAAACGTGACGTCATGCGACTTTTCGAATCAATATATCTCTGCAATGTTTATATTATGTGAAAAAAGAAAAAATACGTGTCCAATACTTTTTGATAATCTACCTGATAAACGAAGAAAAAAAAATAGTCATCATCCCGTCTTATATTATAGATAATAATTTTATGGTAATTTTTACGAAATGAATATTCTATGCAGCAAATGATACCAAAGTCAAAGGTCGCAATCGAGTTCATGAATTGTGGTCAATTGTATTCTCATTAGGTACCAAAACAGTCTGTCTAATACTTGTATACATAGAAGTCATTAATATACATATATATATATATATATATATATATATATATATTAGTATTATCTATATATCCTTGAGAAGGATACTACTAGCCTCTTCAAGAATTACATATCCATATAACTTCAAATAGTACAACAAACCAACAATCTAATGAGTGCGATACAAAATTACCCACTTAAGTGGAATATTTACAGATTTTTGATAAAAAATAAAACAAGTAACATTAATTTGTTGTGCACAATCACCAGTAGCACAAGATCATTAAATTTAGTCATTAACATCAAGATCATTAACTTTGTTAGTAGCCTGACACTGGATCCATTTATTGCATCTAGTCATAAAAAAGTGCTAATGAATTTAAAGATTTTTTGTTATCATTAAAATGACCATTCTCCTTTTATAATCCCTTTTTTTAAATAAGTGGTAGGTAGGTATGTTAATTTTTATGAATAGATAAAAATAAGTCTTTACTTAGTAGTCGTAAGCCAAGCTCTGACTGCGAAAAATATTTTTAAGAGCGCGTAAGGCATTGCAAATTTCCCGCTCGAATTTTAGCACCCATTTTGAGATAAAACCTATACCTGCGGAGCCTCCCAAACTAAAGAAGACCACAGTAAATCCAACCCTTTCCATTTTATTCTTTTTACTAGCACAATTTGTCATTTTTTAAAGTCAATAACGATTGACTTCAGTTATCTACAACGGTTACGCGAAGAAATAAAATAGCGTCTAACAAGAATCTTGTTCTCCCTTTTGGCAAGCGCAGTACTGTTACATACATTTGCGTTATCTATCTCGTTCTATAGCTCTGCTTACAACACTAATATTTTAGATAAATGTATTACTACGTTACGGCTACGGCATCTCGCGCACTGGACGACCACGACCACGACCAGTGGCCGCAATGACCAGATTAGCAAGAGAAACCATACGATACGAGCATCGCACACTTGGTCAAAACGGCCAACTGGCCGCACGCCGGGCTGTGCAGGACCGGTAGTTTCGACCAATTTACGTATAGTTTACTATGACCACTCGCGCACTAAATCTGCTACCGGGAATGCGGCCTGGCTGCGACCAGCCATTCTCAATATCATGCGGATAGTTCGTGAGTGAATACGTTTCGTTTCGTTCCGCAACTCAATACGACGACGTTTTTTCTGCAATGAGTTTTGATGCAGAGTTATTGATTAATGAAATAAAGAAACCACCAGCAGTATTTCCGCTCAACGAACAGTCGTGGTCGTGACTGCAAACTTAACCAAAGCCCAACCGCGACTGATCGTTATCGTGGCCGTCTTGTGTGCGAGGTGCCTAAAACGTATATAATGGCGCGATTCCACTTGGTCGCTAGCCCGAATACGAGTGCCAATGGAATTCGGGTAAACGACTAAGTTTAAATGAACTGAGTCGAGTACGTCCGTTTTCGGATGAGATTTCTTTTTGTTTACCCGACACCGTCTTCCAGCCCGTTTTCTAGTGTAAATATTGCCTCGGGTGTCCGAATTCGAGTAATGTCTTTCATGCAACCGAATAAGGGCTGATGACCAAATGTAATTGCGGCATAAGAGCTCACAAACTCTTAAAGGTAAAAAACCAAAGTAGTTCCGTGAAAGTAACCGCCACTGAAGTTGCCTTTGTGTTGAAACTGAAACACAGGCAACTCAAAAAAAAGTAACTCAGGACAGTCAGGAACATACAGAACTTTATGAGCGCCTAAAAAGACGTATGAAAAATTTCAATAGCAAATAATTACGTGGAAATAAGGGCAAAAAGCTTACCGTGTCTTCTTTATGAAATCATTAATTATGTATTTAGAATATTCTCAGTTTCATTAAATATTTAACTTGTGACATTCGTTGGACTGTTCAAGGGCGAAATATGTATTTGAGAGAAAAATGAGTATCATTAATTCGAAATGTAAATATTTATTTCATTAGTAATAAAACCCCCAACGATCACAAAATGTGAAAAGAAAGGCTAATTTTAGACTATTAATACGAAGATATATAATTATATAAATGAGTTTTTAAAACAACAGTGGGTGTGTTTCAGTGCTATTTAATAGTCAAAAGTAGTAATAACTTTAATAAAAAATTGATTCCGACGACGTCATAAATAAATAAAGTTTCGTGCATTAACCCGTAAAAACTAGTTTTATTTAATGAGTGATGTGCGTGAAAATCTAAGAAACAAATATATTAATAACTCTCTATTAAAGCCTTAAACATACCTTATTCTTATCAGTTTTTATTTAATATTGACTATCAAACAAAAAAAAACATAAATAGTATGTCACAAAAGAATAAATTTAGTAGTCTTATTTCTATGAAGACCTAAAATAAATCAGTTAAAAAATATTGACTTTTTATTTGATTCGTCAGTATTTTTTACACAATAATTAACACGATAATGGTTAAGATTTTTAATGCAAAAGGGACTCTTGTCCAATTTTATTGCTATGTATATCAGTATATTTATACTGTATCTATGAGTACTAACCACTTCTTGATTACTACGATACATAGCAATAAAATTGGATACGACTTAACCTTCGGTTTCAGTGATACATATATAAATATATATACATATATACATTTTCTATAATTATGAATTTAAACGACAGCTACCACTTATTGGCAATGTGAACAATGCTATCTCTAAAGTAGTCCTTTAGTTTATTGCTATATGATTTCAAGAGGAAAGTTAAGTTTAAAGGGTCGAACGTCGAGGGCAGCAAACAAAATCAACAATCGGCCTTGACTTTTTGCGCGTTCAAACTGTCAGTCTTTTGAATAGGAGCTACAAGAGGGTTAACGGAACATCCCTTCTTAATGTATGCTGCACTCGTATATTTTTTCATATTTTCCATCCTTTGTTCGACCTATATAAAGGGCTCATGTATGGTGGGAGTACTTCACAAGGTGCAAGGATGCCCCCTTATGTTATTCTGCCGCGCTCGAGTAAATCCATAAATCCCCGCTTGGGCTCCCCTACTATTAGAGTGGATCGAGATTGGTTGAACTGTTCTTTAATTTATGAGGATTTATGAAGACAATTTTAAAATTAAATGTATGGTTTGTGAAATATTATGCTTTCAAGTGCAGGTTTTTGTTAGAATGAGAGTTATTCACGGAAGTAACACGTCCCTTGAGGAAGCCTATGTCCATTATTCATGCAAACTTACAGCTTTTAGTAGATATTAAGAGAATCCGAGCCAAGCTGTTGCGATCGGATAAACAAACGGAAACTATAAAGGATCTTTATTGATTCACAAATAACGCATCTATTTTTATTTTTTAATGCTTTTCCCTAGAAATTTATTCATAATCTGCCACCTATAGAAAACTGTCAGCATCTTGTAGTCACATGTTCCGGACCTATGTAGAGTTACTTGCTTTACACCCAATGACAAAATTAACTAGTAAGTTCCAGTGTAAATACTAGATGGCGCTTTATCAAACTTATTCAATATAAGTCAATTTTGTTACTGCCCTCCAGTTATCGGATAACATTTAATTAAAAATTAATTATTTATAAATTTTATAACTCTTACCTACGTGATGAAGTATCATCATAAGCAATAAACTTATGAACCTTTTTTAGTACGTATGTAATTTGTTTTCTAAGAATGCTAAAATAAGTTATGAACACTTGTTTAATAAATATGATAACACATTTACCTCAAATATATTATTATGCCTAAATATTTTCCAATTTAATAAAATATGATGTTATGCAAAATATTCTCAAAATGCTGGGTTATTCAACCCCAGCGACTGAACACACGTCTGTCCAGTGCTCTTTAAACTCTATAGTAAAATGCTTATAAAATGAGGTTGCATTTTTGGATAATTTTAGAAAATTATCTCTAGTACTCATTTGCAATAATTATTTCCATAACTTGATTAATATGAAAGCTTGTATAAATAAATTGTACAAAAGTAGTAACACTCTCTTTACTATAGTTTTTCCTACTCTTATTGCAAATGTTTCATCTGTTCATTTATATATAAATAAATAAAATAATATAAAACAAAATAAAATAGAATCTTATTAATAAGTATGTATTTTTAATGGGGACTTTCACCTTAAAACTATTGTTACAGACGTAGACAGGTCTTGTTTACATCTAAATTTATTCTATAGTGGCTTCGTTTGACACAACTGACCTGAATTTTCAATGCCAGTTTCGTTCTAATGACACCTATCATGCTGTCAGATTTCCATTTACTTTAGAGACGACCCACGATGTCAAATCTGCCTCTACTCTACATTAAGAGCACTCTCATATCTAATTAGAGATTAATTGAGTCAGGGGTGTGACGGGAAGCCCTTTGTCGGTTACCTACTACATAAAATAACCCCTGAGTAAGAGGGTCCAAAAATTAATAGTTAGCAGGAAACAAAAGAAGGAAAAATTGGATTTCAAAAACCGTTCTTACTTCGAAATTCGAAATGATATTGTAATGTTTTGGTATGTGAGCGTGGTTAGCGTGTGACAGTCCATACTCAGTTAGCCGCCACGCGCTGCCGGATTCAGACGCACGGTTTGTACCGCTATGTTCCGCGCAGTGTCCGACGGCTGGAAGCGGTACTGGTGGGGAACAGGTACGGAACAACCAATCACAACTTCCTCAATACACTACCAAATTGTTTGTAGCAATGTGAGAAACTTGACTAGTTAGCGGCACCCGTACTCTACTTACTTACATCTCGGAATGCTCGACTTTTTTTACCGTAACGCGTGACTGTGTCACATCCCTCACATGTTTTATATAAAAGGTAACGCCACTTGTATTTATTTTAATTCAGATTTACACCTTACAATTTACGCTTTATTTACTGAGTGAGATTTTGCATTCGCACGTGTTGGGTCCGAAGTGCGGTTCTTCGTCAAAAGTTCGGAACTATTTACAGCTGCATTCGGTTGTGTACTCATAACTAGTTAGGTAAGATGTTTATACAGCCCGCTTGTGCCAATATTACTTTTAGTTTATTTGTTTATTAGTAATTTTATTGTTTTCAACACTTGCTACTTTATTTACTTGACGTTTAGTGAGATTTTTGTTCAATTAAGTAATTTTGTTCTTCACGAGGAAACCGGGCTACCACACCGTACAAAGAAGAATACCGATATTACAGTGCCTTTCTTAACCCTGACATTGGCAGAATCATCGTGCATAACGATGGAGCCAATATATCTAAAGTGGAAGTGGATTTGGAAGTAATTTTGTTATAAGTTAACTTTCATAAAATCCAGTTACAAAATTTGGCTATCCATGACTAAATTCAAGATTTTTTGCTACCCAAAATACGAAAACAACTTGGTGAGGGATCCAATTCCAATTTTACAGAAAAGTATTGTTGTTCATTAAAGCGTTACTTAATTCAATCGAAACTTGAAATAGTTTGATTGAACGTTAAATTTTTAAATAATTTCCTGGTGATTGATCTATATGAGTGTGATTATTAGGTGCGTAACGTTTACTGCATATACATGGTTTAATAAATTGTTGCTAAGAAGTAAATTGAAGTATAGCGTTGCGGATAATCTCCTCTTGACAGACTTAAATCTGGCTAACCAACAATGTATCTTTGAAATTAAAGAATTAAGCGCCATTTACACGATGCAAGTTTCTTGTCTGTTGCATACAATTAAAAAGAACGAATAATTTTCTTAAAACTTTTCTTAGTGTGTAAACAGCACACACATATATATATAATTATATTCTATTCTATTCACATACAATAATTTCTCAAGCAATTCTTTTATTCAACCCTTGTATTCAATTATCGTTTTATTTGCAAACATAAGTGCAGTCAGTGATGGTGTAATAATCATTGTTGCCCTTCTGAGCCAAGAAATATTGAGAAAACGTCGTAAAATATTATACCAAAAAAGTTTACACTACAGTACATTTAGACACTAACATTGTCAGTACCGGAACGATGCACATTGGCGACGGTATCTTTTATATTTTCCTATCCCCATGATCTGCATCCTGAATTTTTTTATTGGAACAAAGATTCTTTTCGGTCAGCACTGGGCGCATTCCGCACTGGGCGCTTTCTGCATGGGGCCCAGTGAGGATTGGTGGGTTACATAAATATTTTTTATCACATCTATTCGAAGAGCTAGACTTTGATCTCTATTTACATAGCGTTTTAATCCCTAGCTTTTTCATTCCTAGGAACGAATATAGCGTTTTAATCCCAAAAAAGTAAGAAAAAATACTAGCGAAATTTATTTCGTCTTCGTTCATCTGTTTATTAGGTAGTCCAATTCGGAATTATAAAAAAAAAGTCTTCTTCGTGTAGTTAGAATGAAATGATGCTAAAAATGTCATACAGTGTTATATCTATAAATCCTACACTAGATTAAAAAAACTCTCTGGCCTTTCAAATTATTATTTTCTCCCTTAGTAAATAATCCCCTATTAACTTCGTTGTTCAGAGTTAGTTAGTTCAGTTATTTCTTAATTCTATATCCATCAAATCTAAATTAGTGAGCAAATTGATGTAGTGCAGCATTACGTGCATCACAATTCTTGTCATTCACACTTTCAGTGTCCCAGAAATAATCATTATAACGATATATTTCAATTAAATTTATTAAATTAGCAAAACCGAATTTGAATACTTTTTGGCTCAAAGTATTGTTTGTAAACAAATCCAGATCTAAAATGTTCAACATTTGAATGAAATATTCGTCCCCGCAAATATGTGTAATTCTTGAAACAACTGTCAAATAAATGGTATTCGCACATACAAGTCTGTATTTGGACATATCAATACTTGAAAGCAATAATCTCCTTACAATAATTGTATTGGTGTAAACGAAAGACATTTTCAATTCTTTTTGTCAAAACTGGCATTCAATATAATTGTATGCAACCTTTTTACTACGTATGTCCGCGTGTAAACAGTTGCTTACAATTCTTGAAAGTCAAATATTGCGCCTCATTAATTGTATGCAATTATTGCCCTTTTACGTACAAGAAAATTGCATCGTGTAAATGGCGGTTTACGTTTATGGTATTGCGAGCAAACTATTGACTAATTTTTCTTCTGAAATAATTAATGAGCAGAATAATTAAAGATACGTCGCAGAATACGCAGAATAATTAAAGTAAGCATCCGGTATCATGTAAAAAATATTTTTCATCCCACCACCTCGGAAAGTGTAATTTTGCGCTTCGAAATCTGGCTGGAAAATTCTATTTTATTCGCTTGAGCGGCAAAGTAGATTTGAATTTAGAACATCACATATAATGAGTACTCAATATAATTGTAAATTCAAAACGTCATTAAACCTATTTAATGTAACCTCTATGGTGCCAAATTTATGATTAGAACTTTTTAAATTGTGAAAAAATTTAAATTTGGAACCTTCTTGGTTTCTTTGTTTTATTTGCGTGCTTCGCGCCATTCTAGTTTTTCACGTTTTATTGCTTAATATAATTAACATAACCTAAAAACTGTACAAAAAAATCAACTAAAATGAGTGACATTAGCGACGATGAAGTTTATCTAACGCCAACTGAGTTAACTGAAACAGTTAATAATGCGCAAATGAGCCTTCTCCCTCAGCAATCACGAGAGAAGTATTTGAAACAGTACGATATATTTAACATGTGGCGACTAGCTAAAGGAGCAAAAACTTTCTCCGAAAACGTTTTGCTGGCATATTTTATAGAATTATCTGAGACCAAGAAAGCAAGCACGCTATGGAGTACGTATTCAATGCTAAAATTAACAATTAAGATGAAGAAAGACGTTCATATCGACACCTATCATAAATTAGTGGCATTTTTAAAAAGAGCCTCATCTGGTTATAAACCAAAAAAATCGAAGGTTTTCACAGCATCTGAAATTGCAAAGTTTATTAATGAAGCACCTGATTCCGTATATTTAGCGGCAAAAGTAAGTCAATACGTGTAATTTTTTGTTGTTGATAAAATTGTACATAGTACTTACAATATTTTTAATTTGATTAATTTATTTACGATTATAAATACTTCTTTTGTTACAGGTTGTTCTTATTATTGGTATAACCGGAGCATGTCGAACAAATGAACTTACACTACTTAATGTCAATAACGTATCAAAATATTCTCATAATTCTGATGAATTGCTATTAATTAATGTACTAAATACCAAGACAAAAAAAGACCGCAACTTCGTTATTCGCAAGGAATATGTAAACATTGTTCAGAAATATCAAGCTTTACGTCCTTCTAACACCCCAATTGAACGATTTTTTCTACAATATCGCAACGGAAAGTGTATCCGACAACCTATGGGTCAGAATAAAATTGGCAGTATTCCACGAGAAATAGCAACTTTTCTCGGACTTTTAGAACCCCCGTTATACACCGGTCACTGTTTTAGAAGAACCTCAGCCACACTTTTGGCCGAATCAGGGGCTGATCTTCTATCGCTTAAGCGCCATGGAGGCTGGAAGTCTAATTCGGTTGTAGAGGGATACATAGAGGATTCAATCCAAAGTAAATCAAAAATTTGTAATAGTATCGTGGAGGCCATAACGCTGAAAGAACCTCTGTCAGATTCTTGGTCTCGCCCTTCTACATCTAAAATGAGCCCCCATAAGATTGGAAACAATAGCCCTCTCTCGCCAACATTTACGCCAATAGAATCCAATGAATCGGCACAACTATTTAAAATTACTGATACGAGTAGTTTACCACAAAACAGCGCACAATTCACAAACACCAACATAACATTACCTAACAAAAATATTAAACTTAACATAGTAACTGTAGCAACGTTACATTTAATATTTCTTAATTATTTTCTACTTCTTATTATTTTCTTCAATTTATAGATTATCTTAATGTGTTTTAATTGAAATAAAAATATTTTGTCATTATAAATTGTTTTCTTTTTCATTTTGTCATTTCCTCGCTGAGGTGGGATGAAAAGTTACGTATTGCACTCGAGTGGAAAGATTTTTCACCTTGTGCTCGTTTGTTTCCCTCGCTGACGCTCAGGATTCTAATTTAGAATCACTCGCTGCGCTCGTGATTCAACTTTAGAATCCTTCGCTTGCTCGGTCATCCAAATCGAGCACGCGGTTAAAAAGGAACTTTCCACTCTTGTATAATAAATAACTATTATCGTTCTAGCTTTTCGTAAGGAAAGCATTTTTACGAGTAGGTACCATCATAAATTAGACTCTAATGTATGATAGGGTCTCTTATCTAGAACCTGGGTTTTATTTAACTCGAGAACTCATTTTTCGTTTCGGTAATATTACGCTAAAAAGAAAGCATTTTAAACTCTTAAAGACAATCAGAACTATCTTTGAACACAATACATTTTTGCATGTTTTATTAGTTTAAGTTTCATTAGAAAGTTTACCTTTTTGACCTTTTAAAATTTATATACCGCAACTCTACTGCTTATAAATTTTTACGATGATGTACCTAACTCAGAACAAATCAAGTACTAATCTGCTCAAGCATGGCTGTCACCTAGAAAGCTAAAAAAAAGTACTTAGAAATAGTAAAAAAAAAGGTACTGGTTGGTATCAGTCAACTAATGATTAAATTTAGAATCATTGATTCTATCATCCATATTAACTTTTT